TCCGCAGATTCCGATAAAGTTTCATTAGAAAGAATAAATGTATTAGTTTCCATATTCGTTAAAAATGACAAAAATTTGAAATAAATACACAAATAAAACACATGTCTACCGTTGCTAATGTAACAAAGGCATGCAGGTAATGGGACTTTATAGTTAAATCACATAATATGAAATAAAATGGATTTTATGTAATTTTGTTAAATTACAAAATATTACGACAGTATGAAATAAAATTTACTATTAGAATTCATTCTTGATATGCAAGCTGATAATTTTCGTTTAAGAATTTTTGGTTTCTCTAGTTTGAATTTGAATTCACTTTCACTGGATTGTTAAGTTTACAAATCGGTTTTAGGGTCTTTTTGTGGTACCTATATTTTGTCTATTTCAACACGAAAGGAACTATTGACTTACGTGAGCTCTTACTGATTATTTAGAAACAGGAAATACCCAAATAAATAAAAATTAAGACGTATAAAAAGCGGTTAATAGTTACCAACCTAAATAAATATTACCTACTGGAAAAAACAGGAAGTATCCCTTTCGAAAACCTTCCACTAATTTCTTAAGATTCTGTCCCGTGTGTCATGTCAATTTGGTTTCACTTACACGACCCTGTTAAGACTGTGAAAGGAAAAGTTATCCCTACGTTGTTGTTCGGAAAGTATTTATTACTTAAGGACAAGAAAAAAGAGGAGTACCATAATGATCCCTAATAATTTATTGAATTTCTATTTGGCTTTTTATTCTTGCATGAAGCTAAAATCATATTAAGTGAATTCAACATAAATCTATCGGTTTTCCTAGTGAAATTAATAGGTTGATAAAATGATATTATTTCGTATTTTAAACAAATACAATAAATGTTTTTGATAACGTTTAAAATTGCTCATTATTTAAATTAAATTAAATTGCAACCATATCACAATTTCAGTTCAAAACCAAGGGAACCATGTATATGCTATTTTTAGCTCCTTTTTTCATCACGCTATCTCCATCGATCCTAACTGAATAGGATATTTTATTTCTCAGAAGTTTAGATTCCTGACATACTTAAAACATATGGTTTTCAAGTCGATGATATATTAAAAGTAACAATTCTTCAAGCGGACTTTGTACGTTATTGTGCTCAATTTTAAAAAATTATTATCTAGGCAGTCAGATAGTTTTAAATTAAAATAGTGCTAGAAGGGACAGTGTGCATATTTTTAGTAGGTACCTTTTAGAATATTTAAAAAAGTATATCCGTTTAATAGAACAATCATCTTTTGAAAATCTAAACTAGAAGAAATTGAAAAAAATTAATAATCTGAATTTTGATAATATTTATTTTTATTGGTCATATCTACTTTATTAACATTTAAAACAATTTGTTAGATTTCTAAAAAACTAATGGCTACTTACAATGTAAGAATATATTAATATATTTCAATCATTTATTAAATTAAACGTATTTTACGAATTAGGTTAATTTTAACACTCTTAATTTAAAAAAAAAATTAATATGTAAATTATTATAAACTGAATATTAAAAAAATTAAGATATTAAACATAAACAGAGCCCTAGTGATAAGTTGAAGTAAAAATAGTAAATTATCAGAGGCATAACATAAGTAAGAAAATATATTATCATTAATCAAAGTTAATGCAATACGAATATACATAAGAAAAAGTAGAAATCTAAAAAATTGTAATATACAACAGGTGTTAGGACCGAAGCCGAAGCTCCAAAATAAACAACTAAATTATATTTTAGCTATGCAAAGGAACGTACAGATATTTTACATATTGTTACGCGAGCCCTTTTTTAAAAATATTTCTTACTTCAAAGGTTTTCTTGAAGATAACTTCTAAATATTTGATTGATTATTGAATTTAAAAAAGATTGGTTTATGTAGCAGCTCATAGCCTCATAAAAAGTACTTATTATTTCTAAGTTGATATCACTTGTTTCTGAGATACTGTCCAAAATCCATTCCAATATGAAAATCTAAGGGTCAAATATATTTTTTTATTGTCTAAGCGTTTTCTGCACCCTTGAACTTTTTTAATTTGCTGCTAACAAAATCAGTTTGGTTAGAACTGGAACTCCTTATGTAGTCTTATTTTTAGTAAACTATCCTAATGCACTATTTGGATCAAATGAGCAGATAGTTTTAAATTGTATTATTTGCTGTAAGTGTTATTTTATTCTATTCAAATGTATATACTGTCGTCAAACTATGTGAAATATTTGCTGTAATCTATAATTTTTCTTAGAATTGATATTATTTGTAAATATACCTACCAAATAATTTAATTCAAATCTTTTATAGGTTTGAAATTTATTATCTCGGATTTTAGCTGCAATATCTCTTACAGTTCATTATAAACTGCAAACATATTTGATTCAAAACTACCAGCTCCTTAAAAATATATGTATATTTAAAATTTAGTATTAACGTAGGAATTATTCAAGACAAATGTGGTATATTATCAAACTTATGTTTTCTTGAAAGAAAATTGTAGTAGGTCACAGAATAGGTGGGAAGTAACACCATAGATGGAGTCACTTACGGTCTGCGAATACACTCTCCTTGTGAGTAACGACAATAAAGCAGCTGGATCGTTCTAAAGACATATTGATGATGATCATCAGTAAGTCCCAAACCAACCTATGTCTGGTTCGTTAAACTTACAAATGATCCTAGCTGTTGAACTAGGTGTTGTAAGTTTGAAACAAAATTTTTTTTATTACTGAGAAATATTTATATCTTAATGTGTATATGCTTAAAATAAGTATATACAATCATTTGACCAAAACGATTCAATTTTGTGTTAAACAAACGATACATTAGTATACAATACAAAACATGTTTCTATAAAATCTATGTAGATCATAAAATTAAAAATAGAATTAGAATTAGACTTTTTTGAAAAATAAATGTCTACTTTTTTTCGAATTCTGCGTAGTTTAGTCAGAAATAATTATATTTTAAAAAATGTATGGCTCAGAATAGTCACCTTTTTTTAACATTTTCACATAGTAGGCATCTTTCATGGTGACAGTTTCAGTGTAATGATACTAATGATTGTCACTTTGGCGTACTATCATTTAAATTTTTACGTTTTGATCTTTATGTTTGACTTTGCATTTCATTCGATTTTTTTACGACCATGAACCATCATGCTTTTACTAACCGTGAATATGCCGACATGAATTTTATTTATGGTCTTTGTAATGGAAATAGTCTGACGGCTGAAAAAGAGTATCGGCAACGTTTTCCTTCTGCAACGGGTAAAAAACAAACTACTAGTGTTTATTTGGCGAAACGAGAAAGGCTGAATACGAGTAGTGCAGTTGTTATATTGAATTTAATAAATTGTCTTGTGTAGTGTAAGTGTAAGTGTAAGATCCCCGTTCAAATTTTCATCATATTATATGCTTGTAACAAGGCTTGTAACACTAAGAAAATTTCATCTTTGATGTATTGACTTGGTTAATTCGATTTTGTAGAAAACGCCATNTATATTTAAAATTTAGTATTAATGTAGGAATTATTCAAGACAAATGTGGTATATTATAATCAAACTTATGTTTTCTTGAAAGAAAATTGTAGCAGGTCACAGAATGGCATAGGTAGGAAGTAACACCATAGATGGAGCCACTTACGGTCTGTGAATACACTCTCCTTGTGAGTAACGACAATAAAGCAGCTGGATCGTTCTAAAGACATATTGATGATGATCATCAATAAGTCCCAAACCAACCTATGTCTGGTTCGTTAAACTTACAAATGATCCTAGCTGTTGAACTAGGTGTTGTAAGTTTGAAAATTTTTTTTATTACTGAGAAATATTTATATCTTAATATGTATATGCTTAAAATAACTATATACAATCATTTGACCAAAACGATTCAATTTTGTGTTAAACAAACGATACATTAGTATACAATACAAAACATGTTTCTATAAAATGTATGTAGATCATAAAATTAAAAATAGAATTAGAATTAGACTTTTTTGAAGAATAAATGTCTCTACTTTTTTTTTTTTCAAATTCTGCGTAGTTTAGTCAGAAATAGTTATATTTTATATAATGTATGGGTCAGAATAGTCACCTTTTTTTAACATTTTCACACAGTAGGCATCTTTCATGGTGACAGTTTCAGTGTAATGATACTAATGATTGTCACTTTGGCGTACTATGATTTAAATTTTTACGTTTTGATCTTTGTGTTTGACTTTGCATTTCATTCGATTTTTTTACAACCATGAACCATCATGCTTTTACTAACCGTGAATATGCCGACATGCATTTTATTTATGGTCTTTGTAATGGAAATAGTCTGACGGCTCAAAAAGAGTATCGGCAACGTTTTCCTTCTGCAACGGGTAAAAAACAAACTACTAGTGTTTATTTGGCGAAACGAGAAAGGCTGAATACGAGTAGTGCAGTTGTTATATTGAATTTAATAAATTGTCTTGTGTAGTGTAAGTGTAAGTGTACGATCCCCGTTCAAACTTTCATCATATATGCTTGTAACAAGGCTTGGAAAATTTCATGTTTGATGTATTGACTTGGTTAATTCGATTTTGTAGAAAACGCCATTAAAACCTGGAATTCCCCCAGAAAAGATTGCAGCCGTCTTCCTGACGATATATCTTTTTTCCGTACATACTGCCTACAAGCATACCACATCTAACTGAAAACATCGATCTATCGTTTACTTTCAGCGTCAGCAGTTTCTATTTTCTCCCGCATTTGTCAGTGCCGACAAGCGATAAATTCCCACATAAAAGAAAGCTTTAATTTCGGGGGGGTATGTTGCACAATCTATCCCATATTAAGTACCCAACTATTTGACAAGTTTAAATATTCATTGGCCCTGGAGTCTGCTTGACTAGATAATAAGGGGTGGCGCGTGCGCCCGTTCGCCACTACTTCGCGAGACCCGACGACCGGCAGTTCTTCCGCGTTTCTCGTACGAGGTGGGCACTGTATCCGCAAACCCCTGAAAAGATCGTGCCGTTTCAGTGGCGCGTCCGGTTCAAATCCGTTCCCGCCATTTCTGGATTCGGAGGCGCAGTTTTTGAAGTATGGCATTGTGATGTATCTTGTGCATTGTTGATATATTCCCCCCCTGGTATCTTGTTACTGTCTCTAAAAATAAAAAAATAAGTCGATTGAAGGTATATCGCAAAAGTTGAAGGCACAACTCCTTCAACACAGTCGCAAAAAATTTACCTAATAAAAGGCATGTTCTTACTGTAAACAAGTACTTAAATATTCTTGACGGAATCAATTTTCGCACTAATGCCACTTTGGTACTTACTAGCAAAAAAAATAGAAAGATGGAAAGATTTCTTAGGCACTGAAAAAATACTTTAACACCCATACCTTAATAAAAAATGTAAAATTGAGGACTCGATGTGTTTTACTATTTTTTTTCTTAAAGAAGTACTATTATTGAATGGTATCATTGTTCTTCTGAAGAGATACATTGTGTATGTGATTGCAACTAAAAGTTTCGAATGGGATACAAAAAAAATGTGGGGAAGTACGACAAACATGTTCAAATTATATTTTAATTAAGTTTCTGAGTATAAATAAGTAGTTTGTGTAATCTTAATAAAATCATATTCAGTAGTTAGTGAAAAAAAGTAAACATTTCTTTTTCCACAGACACCTACGTAAGTATAAAACACGATTTAGTAGATCAATGCGTTGATTTAAACGTTTCCTTTGATTTAGGTTAGCTTAAATTAATTTTTCCTTTATTTTATTTATGAAAAAATAAATTGCAGTAACAAAATGGCGTTAAAAAGGCAATACAATACAGTTAATAAATATTATTAATAATTATCATTAAGTGTTTACAAATATTAAAATTTACAACTTGTTACGATGTCCGGAAGAAAATAATAAAAATCAAACAAATTAAGGCCTTGAACTTTATAATTATTTTCTTATTTAAATTGAATTAAAAATGAGAAAGAGACATGCAAAACACACCAGCGATATTGCTTTAATAATAACGAATTTATTTTATATTCACAATCTGAACGGGCTCTATGGAATAGAACAATGTTTGAGAAAATGAAATAAATATGTACAATAGCAGTGTTGTAACTCTTGCGCAGATATTATTAAATTTTGTAAATAAAATAAATTTCATTTGGAGTTGAATAAAGTTTACCAAATACCCATTATTTTCAGAAAGGGTGTTATTCTGAAGTATTGTTCTACAACTTTACAGAAATTGCCATTTCTGAAATTCTCGTTTTCTATGCGCTGTACTTCAGACATTATTAATTTAGTAGGTATAAATTTCATTTACCCGTTATTACAACGTTTTTGTTTTGTGGTAGGTACTTAATATTTATTAGATAGTGTATAAATATGTTCATAAGCGTAGAAAATTACTAATTATTATAGAAAATTGACTTTGTATTTACAAAGAATCTCTTAAGTAGGTGTATTCAATTAATTTGATTTCTTTATAAATAGTATTGGTATCGATTTTCAAGATATTTAAAATTTTTGGTATCTATCAGTTCGTAATTACTTATTAGTATCACAGTACAATAATTACTATACAGTTTGTCCCACTTTTAACATTGATTATAAAGCATTTAGGTAATATTTTTAAATTTGTGTTCTATTTAATACAAATTTATGTCATTAAATTCAGTTTTCATCGACGAAGTTTTTTGTGACAGTTCTGACAATAAGTATTCTTACTCAGAATCACCGAAAAGGGCTATACTGAAAACTTACTTAATTAAAGTTTAAATAATTTCCAAGTTAATAAAAATAGTGTTATTATTGATTATTAGAGCTGTCACAATCGGTCCGCTAGCCATTGGCGCCGTCATGTCAGTCAGCCACACGAGCTGCCTAGCTGTCGGTTTAGTCGCCGATTTTCCTGTAATCGACCGATTTCTTTTCCAATTTTAGTTGTCTTTTGATGCACAATTGTGTGTAATTATGTCAAGCGTAGTTATTGCTAAAAAACAACAAACAATTCTTACTACACAGACTAAAAAAAAAAAACAAATTTTCGCGTAAGTAGCTACAAAATTATTAACATACAAAAAGTATGCAGAGGGAAAACAAAACAGAGATGTATTTTTTGCAATAGAAAATAATTTTATGAAAGTAGAGGAAAATAATGAGTTTTAAAAATACCTATTTAAGCTGCTTCGTTCGTTTAAATGTTTGGTTTTTTATTTATTTTATAAAATTAATAAACAAAAACAAGGAGTAATAAATTATGTACTCAGGTTACCATCACAGCTTTATCAGTAGTGGCAACAAAGCGGCACTCAACAAATTATTTCAAGTGCATGTGGTCATAGGGAAAGTTAAATAACGAACAACTTTTACTAAAAAAATGTAAACAATAATGCAATCCAGTAAATGTCAATAAACAAAGTAATAAGTATTAAACAGTGCACAACACACGTATAAAAAAACTGGCGAAATCCAGAAGGAAAACCAGGTTAAGATATTTTATCACCGCCGCGAATAAGTTTCGCTGACACAAGGGTAGAAACATACCCGATGATGCGATCTATAACGTATCGCATCCAGATTGTGGAACCGATGGCAACGATGCGGAAAACAATTTACGTGTTTCACAATGATACAATGACATGAATCTAATAATCATTGTTTTGACAGCTCTATGATTTATATATTCTGAACAGCATGCTATGTAGATTTAGATATCGATTATAACGAACAAAGAAACGAATTTTTTCAGTGTTTCTGAGCAACTTTTGGATACAATTTTTCTATAAAAATTGCCTTTGTATTTGAGCAGATATAGGTACTTCGAGTAACTGCAAAAAAATTTCTTTATTAAGTAAATTTCTTTTCCAGAAGTTAATTATTAAAATTAAATGATAATTAGTGTATCAAATACACTATAAAGAGATTTAAAATGTACTCTTGGAAAATCTAATTATCTACTGCTGTACAAAGTAAACTTTTTATAAGTTAATTAACATTTCGTTGTAGTTGTGTATAATTGGAAAAATTTTCAATTAACCTATCATCTAATTACATAAAACAACAAAGGCAATATTTTTATTTTAAGTGGTTATTTTTAACTTGGATCGTATTTAATTTTTTTTTACTATCAACTTATACTTCATTGCCAATTATCTGTACACAGCAGACTGATAAATTTGAAAATCAACGAATTCTTAGTAATGTCAAAGGTCATTGTCGAGTTAAAACAACTTCGCTCTCCAAATATTGTACAATTGCAAAATAATTTTAATGAAGTTGCTTACTAGCTTTGAAATGGTCATTTGTAGCTTGATAACACTATTTATTTTCCCAAGATACGGATCAATAAAAATAAAAAATACCATCTATATACAGGGTGTTAACAAGGTTACTTCTTATAAAAAAAGAAAAAAAACTGGAAAATGGTTTAAAGTGTCAAATAGTATATTTTGTATCACGAAATGAAGCTACTGTTTTTTCGTGATTAACAATTTGACCAAGTTCACAAGAAAAGTTGTTTCATTCGAGTCGAAAATGCTATTTTATCGACTCTTATATGTATAATTTTTCCTTCAATATGATTCAAAATTGTATTTATAATACAGCAAATTATTAATAATTTTTTTAGTTGTTCCTACATAACAATGTTTCACTTTATTTTACATTTCTAAACTTTTTAGTATGCACACAACATGTTCTGTTGCAACCAATCAATGTTTATATGTGCAATTTTTTGTCCATCAACGTAGAAAATCTAAGCAAGAAACAATATCTCTTCACTGTACTTGTTGTATAAGTTATAAGTATTATAAACGTAATCACACCCTGTAGAATGCTTTTAGGAAAATATTAACACATGCATTAATCACGGTTAGTGAGTATCTTGAAAAATTTGCTGGACCAAACAGGAAAGGTACAATTTCTGATGTTTATATGTTCTCCGTGATCTTTCAATGCGAAAAATTAGAGGAAGTTGCTCTAGTTTTGTGTTACCTTCGTCACTTCCTGTATGGATCTACTTGTACTTTCACTGTCTTACTAAAAATGTGATTTCTTGGCTATAAAATGCCAGCCTTAGATGATGAGAGTGTTCATATATATTTAATTAGTCTTAAGATGAAAGTAGCATTTAAAATAAAAAATTAAATTATCACTATAGCAACTAAGCTGAGAGAAAATCTTTAATTTGCACACATAAAAGCAATGTTTAAATAAGTTTAATTATATAAAAACAAAACGTTAATATGATTTGATTTGTTTAAGAAAATACGTTAACAATTCTAAATGTTCTCGAAAATGGCGAAGACTTAAGAAATATCTCTTTTGAATTTATGCATGCGTTTAACCAATCTAGTTACCATAAATTCTTTAAAATAAACAGCGTCGGAATATACAGTAAATTATCTGCTTTCAAAAACAAGAGTTGAATGCATTTGACAATGCGACATGTGAGCCGTAGTCACGAATGACACGCTGATAGTTTTGTATGATAATTTCTATTTCTCCTGTCACTTGCACATCTCATTTACTATCGGTACTAATTTATAAATAGAATGTTATGTTTTACCCTTATATCATTCTCAGCATAGCATACCTGAAAGATTTTAACGTTGACGACAACACTGACAGGGCTGCAGAACTGAAACTAGAAAGGAAATTACGACAGATATTTCCATGAAATTTTAAATTAAATATGTTCATAATGTGAATACTAGGCAAAAAAATGAATTTTATTTACCATTTTCTAAATATACTTTATATCGCAATTCACCAGACTACATGGGTGTACAAATTTTTAATAAACTTCCACGGTATTTAAGGGAGATAAAATATATAAATTATTTTAAATGTAAACTAAAAAAATACCTTGTCGACAGATGCTTTTATGGCATAAATGAATTCTATGCTCAAGACTAAACTGGTGACAGGAGTGTTTCCAATTTTTATTGTTATTGTTAATTGTCCAACGGAAAAAAAATGTAGTTTTCTCATAAAAGTTTACAAAAAATAAGATACTCTAAAAAGTATTATATTTAATTCAATTTTAACTTAAAATTACGAAATACTTATTTGAATTATGCCTCGGAAATAATTGTTTTTTTTTCTCACTACATTGCCCTTTCTATAAGAAATAAGATTCGTGAAAATGAAACTCAAAGTAATATGACAAAATTTTAATTATATATCTACTTTAATTTTTTGTATTTATAACTTATCTTTTTCTAAATTACATTTTAAATAATTTTTTTGAAACAAAATACTTTGGTGGAAAGAAGACGAAAATACTACTTGATTCGTATGATACTAATTTAGAAAGTTTATTTAAGAAATTTGTAAGGGAGACGTTTAACATGCCGTGGCATCACAAAACAGACAAATTCTCATATAACCTGGATGCTGTCACTTTAGAAATGACGAAAAAGATATAAAACATTTGTAAAAGTTCACTGGCAATGCCAAACATTTTTTGATATCGTTGGTAACTTCAGTTTAATTTCATTAAATCTAACGAACTTCAATGCTTTTTTAAAATTTATTTGTAAATAATATATGAGTATGTCATGACGAACTTTAATTAAGAGTATAAGTAGAACCAAAATCCAAAACATTGCTTAGGGAGTTTCTCAGAACATATATTATTTTCAGTGGAAATATTGTCAATCTTCGGTTCCTTAATCTCAATTACTATTTCGCATTTCAGATGACAGTTAATTAAAACAGTTAAAACTTTTTTTCAAGTCGAAATTCTGTATTATGCAATTTTTTGTCTAACATAGGCATTGTAACTGTTTTTTTCCCTGTATATTACGAATCGCTTTTACGAAATAAGAAAAAATAAATTATTAGGTTCAAGAATTTGAAAGTGACAGCTTAAGCAACCTTGAATAATTTGAACTACACGAACTTGGCGCGAGTTCAAGATTTCAAAAGTTGTAATAAGTGAGTAAAAAGATATAAAAATAAAATTTATATGCTTTGATAACTTTCACTTTATTCAAAATTGTTCAAGATATTGTTATAACGAAAAATGTAATTATGTATATCACAAACTTATTTTTTTATTATTAAAATATGTATATCTGTTAGGACAGAATAATTTGGCTATTTTTAATATATGTTTTGTACATTCAAAAAAGTTATTTTCTTACAATTTCGAGACATTTCATTTAAAATTGTTGAACTTATTCGTAGCCAGCGAATTTCCCTAAAAACTGAGGTTTTCATTAAGCTTTTCCGGTGAGAGAAGGAAAAGGTCAAATACATATTTTCAGACATATTGCCTTCCTAAATAAATATAAAAGTATCCGTCAGCTCAAAAGGTTACGTGTGTGATAATATTCGCCGAAAATAATTCAGTCAGGGACTTCGAAAGACAGATTTAGAACCAAATTTAATAAAGGCAATGATAAGGTCAAATATATACGTTATAAGGAAAATCAATTTCAAGAATTTTATTCAAAGAAATTATTTTAGTTCAATTAAATTTAAATTTACTTCAGATTTTTAAGTAATATTCATTTTATATTTAATAATTTGTGTATTACATATAGGAAATCAGTCATCTAGGTTAAAACTGGGATAGAATCGGTATTCTTCATATTTACTATATCTAGTAAGTATTGAGATAACTGCTTATTGAATATAGAAGAGACTTGTCCCTGCGATACAAAAAAATCTAAAGTTTGAAAATTTTTTTACTCTTTAAATTTGGTTTCAGCACATCAAAATCTATGTGTCTGATCAAAAAACCAAAAAATATATTTTTTGTCGATCTATGTTATGTATTGATTTAGTTTTTCTGGTTTGTATGTGTATTCGTTCAACCAATGGTTATATGTTTATGAAAGATAGTAACATAAATTAAAATTCAAATACTAAAAAGAAACCACAGTATACATTTTTTATAATATGTTTTTAGAAAATGTGTCTCGTATGTAAGCATAATTCGGGAAATTATATATTGATCAAATTAATACTAATTACTTGTTACAAATTTGAATTTGAAATGACTTTTTAATAAGGAATATCATGGTAAGTAATCAAATTTTAAATATAAATATATGGTAAACATACTTTTCAATCGATATTAGGGATTTGGTCGGTATAATATGTTAAATTTGGAAAACTGAAAGTTCCAATTTTAATATACATATAAGAATTAAAATAATCAGTTTATCTAAATAAATATTTTATTATATTCTTATTAACTCTTTAAAATATCTATATAAATTATTATAACTAAAATATGTTAGTTCGTACTTTGGGTCTAAGTAAAATATTTAACTGTCATCCTATATTACTGAAGAAATTACATTTTTATGGATTTTCAATAAATTTCATATCGATTTCGCTAACAGACAGTTTGATGAACTCTTTACTTTTTCTGTTATATGTAATTGACACCGATAGTATTTAACAAAAATATTATTTAAATGAAGGTACTGTTTGCTAATATGTCAACATTGAATGCACATTGATGATTTTCTCTCCGAAAATTGGGTAATATAGCAACTCTGATAGAACTAAGTTTCTTGATGTTTATCTTGATCCAAAGTTATCTTGGAATAATCATGTTGATCAACTATGTAAAAAAATATTTTAAAAAATATCAAATGGACAGCAACTTAATTTTATCAGGAATTTATAAGTAAAATAAATATTCTACAATTTGTGCCAGCATAAGCGTATTTTCATTAAGGTATTAAAAAATGGTTCAATACAATTACATTTTGATATAATGTTTGTAATAATGTACAATGTATAATAATATAAGAAGGTAGGTAACATTAGTATGTCGGCATTATTTATTTACAGAGAACTAAACTAATCAAACCTTTACCGGGTGAATTTTAATTCTTTTATTGTAATTTATTTTATGACTATAATTGGAATCATAATTGAAAATAAATGTTCTCACATAACTAAAATACATGAGTTTAACTAAAACCAACATATCTTTGCAAATTAAATTAAATCACTCACCAAAATGTCTGTAGACATCTATAACATTATTATATTCTTATATATTGTCTGTAAAATTCAAGTTTTGAAGTTATTAGCTTATATCCTTGTTTTCTAATCGCAATCCCATAAGACAATAGTATCCATCACCCCCAGTTATGTATAAATGATTTTTCATTACACTGATAATAATTTTACGAATAACAAAATATATTTTAACATAATACATTGTAATAATTTAGTTTTAGATATTTGTAGATTAATAATTATATTATTAGTAATGCCAATGTATTAATTTTGTGCTTATCTTTGCAGGTTTATAACCAGAACAGTGAGGAGTCAGAAATAGAGAACTTAGTGTTAAAAAATGTGCCAAACTTGCTGAACTAATTAAATAAGGGAACTCAATCGATGTAAATGTGCTTCAATTTTATTACATAACGTGTCTCTCGGGCGTTTTTTTGATATCTCTGTGAACATTTATTTCGTGCTACAGGAACTGACAAAATGTGGTGTTTCTATTCAACGTTGATTATATTCCCTGCTGTTCTATTTCAAGGTAAGTTTTTAGAAGAAATTTTATTGTTGAGTATTTTTGCTACCCTGGAAAAATATTTGCTCTGCTCCGTATTCGACATAATTTATTTTTAGTCGTTCTTTTCCGCAGGGAAATACAACTTCGCAAAATTTCTGGAATAGAAATATAGTTGTGTTTATTATTGTACCGGACAAGTTGAGGTGGAATTAAATTTGAATTCTGCGGAGAAAAACTTTTACTGTTTCAAATAAAAGGTTTTAGCTTTGCGAGAAGCGATAACTTTTCTACGTTTTATAATGAGTTTTACGGACGGTATATAGTTTACAATCAATTATATTCACTGAATCAGTTAAATATAAAAAGAAAAACTATAATGTTCATTACACTTGTTTTCATGATGAATTTCTAACATCGTAATACTTGACTAAAACTTACTGACTACATTTTTATATGACAAATGTTTTGTGGGTAATTGGTAGTAAAATTAGTTGTGCAGCAAATCAAACTTGATTGCACCTTAATTGTTATACGAAACATCAAAAAAATTTTTTTCGTGTAGAGTAGATACGTGGTATAAGGAAAAGAATAAATTGCACGAAATCTAATACCTTAGTGAGTTCAATTTTTTCTTTTAAACTTTTACTGATGCTTTGATTCAAGATTTATTTCAATATTTTTTTATATATTTATGTGATAAAAAATAACTCGAGGAATATTTATTATTTATGGTAAATTAATATGCTGAAGACATTCGTATCACAATACGCTTACCAGATTTTCCACTTCCTGTGGCAATTACCTGCCTCGTGTTGATCCACCTAGGTGTGTCGAAATAAATGTAGCCTAGTTAAGTGTAAGTTAAGCTATTGATTTATCCGTCAGATCGAAACCGCCATTTGAAACGGGCCCTTTTGGAACCCTAGACTCAAATATCCTTTGATCACATATTAACCTCCACAGGTTAATTATTACGGCACACAGTCATCTACGCAACAGTCGGTCCCTTGTTATATCGTTCGGTAACATGGAAAAGAAATACCGATTACATTATGTTCCATCGGAAACGGTACTAAAGTAAATATAGAAAATTAATTGAATGCGAACTTCTCTAATGAAACATTTTATTGTAAAGGAATTAAGTAAATAAATTATATCATTTTGACTGCAGGATTTTCTCGGTTACTACCTTCAATAATAAAATTATTCATACAAAAATTGTAGATGCATGTTTATTTCCAAAAAATGGATTATAACGCTAAAAATTTGTGTCTTAAATAAAGTATCTTTTCTCTCAGGATTATATGTTTGATAGGTCAATCTCAATAGTATGGGAAATATACCCAAAAGAGTGTGCTGTACAGAAAAATAAGAATACCTAATGATTTTTCTTCGTTCCTAAGGTCACTGCGATTCTTCAAAGATTTGACGCAGTTTTTTTTAATCACTCAGGAATTTTGAAGATGTAGGTTTCAGATTTGATACGATCCTGTTCTTTCATAGTGTAATATCTGATGGAACACTAAACAGAAATTATAAGAAGTTTGAGAGATTCTACCTGTTAAAAAAATATTTTCCTTTCTAATTCTTGAGTTTTCGAATACAGCGTTTACTGTTAAATATAACATTAACATTCTGCACAAAATCGCGTTTATTTGGATGATGATAAACACACGAATCTTTCTATAATTAATTTTGTATCTATCTCTAACTACTGAGAAAGTACTAACTACTTTTTTGCGATCCACTGAAAATGAACGCACAACATTGTAATGGTTTTTATAACTTTGAACCTTGTAATCTAGAAAAAAATAGAAAAATTGTGTCCAAAAGTGGAAATAGTCCATCCAAATAAAATCTGTAAAAATTTTCTTTAGCGTTAATAACTCTTTTTGATAAATGAAACTCATTAAACTCCTCCCAACTTCGGCGTAACTAATTAGTTTTTGTTCAAATACATGAAGATAGCCTCAATAAGCAAACAAGGGTGCACCAAATTTGAAGTAAATATCTTCAATGGTTCTTGAGTCGATAACTGTGTTTTAGGTCCAACTTTTGAAGGATAGGGTCTATAATCTTTAGGAATAGTTTTACTAAAAATTTCGTTTGTTTCGATGCAAGCGTTCAGCGCTGAAGGTTTATAATAACGTCGCTATTATATCATACTATTATAACCTTAAACTAAAATAAATATATTTTACATAAATAAAATTCATAAAAAGGAGAATAAACGTATACTCGATTTTAATTTACAGGGTGTAAAAAGTTTGACTGCCTTAATTTTAACAGACGATAGAATACATTAAAATAAACAAAAACACCTTATATGACATGTGTCCTAAACTCAAACCATTTCCGAGAAAAAAATCAAAAATCAAAATCTTCAACTTGATGTACAAAAATTCGATTAATTAAGGAATATTGACATAACTGCGTGCATAGAATACCATAAAATACAATGTTTATTACTTTCTTGAACTTTATACTTAATTCTAAAAAATAATTAGTGTTTAATGAATTTAAAATTCGATAAAATTCATGTCGAACAATATGACAACGGCGCGGCTGTTAACACGAGGTACTAAGCTGCCACCAATACGTAATTCAGTTGGTATCTGGAATTCGACCGTGATGGAATGTTTTTTGTGTACCACTATTTCCTTTTCTTGGGGTGTTTCTCTTTGCTTTTTTAAAATGTTTACCATACGTGATAATTTTCCAGCGAGTGCGCGAAAATTGGTTTCGAAGGAGTCATTCGTGCATCGAAAATGGTGGTGGACATTTTGAGCATATGCTGTAGTTTGTTTTGTACTTGTGCTTTTAAAAATTACTGAATTTTGTTTTTTTATGATTATTTGAACCACGTGAATCTTTGGGTAGTTTAATTAAGTACATATTTTTCAAATTCATAATTTGATTAAAAGTTAAGTTCCTGTTTTAAGAGATTCATAATTACAAACGTTCGAGCTAAAATTTAAGCACAACACTATCTTCGTACTACAAAATGGATACATTTTATTTTATCTATATAAAAACTGGACAACTGTCTTGAAATTTACTAAATGTTTTACAATAGTTGTTTACATTTTTGTTACCTATTCTATGACAAGTCTGCCACGTGCACACGTGGTGTGCATCAGCTGTGTAGCGTTAAGTTAACCGCTGTTGTCACGTTGTGATGAAACTCCCCAATATTAATACTCGCTGTATTTTGAAAACTGTTAATTTTACCCCCCCCCCATACTTATACAACTTTTCTGTTTTTTTTATGATTACTCTATCTCATGCTGAAGTAATGGCAGTCAGACTTCTTACACCCTGTATGTATTTTTCTCTGTGTACTCGTATAAGCGGAAGCAGAACAAACAATGATTTATTTCTAACATATTAAGATTATGGTACATTATTTTATATTATTGAAAAAAGATCCATCAAAGTTGATGCCCTGTCCTGAGGCAACAACCGAGGAAACAGGATGGAATTTTATATTTTCTGTTGTATTTAAAAAATCGAAAGTTTGTATTTCATTAATAAACAACGATGTTCAGTTGTTTTTTTCCTTGTGAAACATTATTAAAAAATTCCGTTCAATATCTAGATTTTTTTTCTTATACTAAAATAAATTAGGTAGGTACATAAGGACACTGTAATGTGTTAAATAAAATTAGTAAGGATTTTGACAAAATTCTTATAGCAATAAAGTTTAATAGTACATATTCGAAGAGTTTTAATTGTTTGGTTGGAAACAAAACAGATATTTAAGATATTTTCACCTCAAATTTAAATCTTGTTATTGGCTTGTATAGAAATCGGTCTATTCATGGTTTGAAGACCAGGAAGACTGAATATAGTGCATGTACCTATACATTTAAATCCGGTACATAAAAAGTGTTATAGCTCATACACATATTTGTTATAATTGATTTAGCAGATATTGTCGCAATGACGTCGACTGAGCAACAGTTTAATTTACTTTATATTATAGTTATTGCTTCATGTGAAATGTGTAAGTAACTAACAACTGCTGCTGCTTTGTTTGGATACCTGTCGCATCATTTTGAACGATTGCAGTTGCATCAGCTATCATTATTTCCGGTTTCCCCTAATGCTTAGGAGTGATAGCATAAGAAAGGAAGTTTTAATTTAATCTTTCTGAGTACTCTTCCAGGAATATGCTTTATGGGTGCCTATTATTTTGCGAAACTTCTCAATTTGTCATCTGTCAAAAACATTTCCGCGGATACACATGGCATTGTACTGTATTGTCATTACAATTATCTCTAAAAAATAAAAATAATTACAAGGAAAGGTAGCAATATACTTAGTACCTCTAATGTCTTTTTATTTATGAGAAGTCCAATTTGGCTAAGTGTTTTTATTGCTTAATTTAATCCAAGTGGAGGAGAACTTCTGCAATTTTAATCATGATTGGTTTTGGTGACAGGACACGCACTCAGTACTTATTTAATCTGAGGTATCCTTTGAACCTCGTCGGTTGAGGCAGAGCCGATGCAAAATTCGGGAAATTGGGTCATGTTAGGGCTGCTTCGGAAGACGGACGATAGGTGTATCTGTCCGGTTCGATATGTGTGTGTTAGAGAAAAGTTTCTGTTCGACATAAAATAGTACTTGTCTCCTGAAACAACATATACTTTCAGAAAACGAGTATTAGAAACTTGCGAAATATACCAATTAAAACAGAACACCACAGACAGAAAAGAAAACAAATTTAAAAGTAAGAATTATAGCTAAACAAAAATGCGGGTTCCACACATTTCATTTCCACAACTATGCACCTCTTTTTATGCAGCATGCAAGTTGGGAATGATTCCAGAGGTTCTCAGTAAGTTTTATCAATTTTAATTATTGGGTACGTCCCGCTGAAGCTTGTGTATTTACCTCATTTTGACAAAGCGGACATGTGGCAAAAATATTTGGCATAAGTTCATTAACACCTTGTATATCTTCTTTACTCAGATATGTTGGAGAATGCTTATTGTAGGTTGGGGTACTAGTCCTGCAAA